ATATATATATAAAATAATCTACACGTACTTCATTAAATAATAATACACATCTTTAACAGTTCATTTTATGTTAAATTTACAATTTTTAAATTTCTTAAGTTTGATTCATGATTTGATTCATGATCTTTTAATTCCTAATTTTAATAGTTTGATATTTTTTTAAAACAAATCTTATATTTTGTTTTTAATTGCATTTCTTTATATATATTCTACACATTTTCTTCTAATTGTATTTTAAATTCGTATTTCTTTAATCTCAAAGTGCAAAACGGAACATTGAAAAAATAATTCATCTAATCTTTTCATTATCTATACTTATTACAATCATTATTTACACTTTCATCAATTTATTTTTATCTGCTTTTATCTGATTTGAAATGTTATTGGAATTTTCCGACGATCAAACGATCAAAAGTTCAAATTATAAACCTATGTCATTTTTAAATCTGTCACATTAATTCGAATCTGAATCCGTGTAAAATAATAAAATGAAGTTAGACAAACATATCAGGATTAAGCAAGTTATAGCATTTTCGATTATAGTGAAGGCCATTTTGCACGTGAAAAAATTTTAATGGTAATCATAAGGTCGTAAGCGAATTGACCAATTACAATCGATTTAATTTTTAGACTGTAAGGAGAATAATTGATTCTGATTGGTCAATTTGCTTGCTCGTACCTTAACTCTTGATCAGATTTAATGTCATAATGCACTTTCTGCACTTCTGCACTTTCTTTTTACGCGCGTTCTTCCTTTCTTCAACGCTCGCATCCTATATCCGTCTCGCTTTAAGTGCAGAAAGTGCACTATGATGGTATAACCTAGATTAAAATTAACTACAAACGAAAACGCTATTAGTTTATTTCTTTCATTAAGTTACGTTAAATTTAATAGTCTAGAAAAAGAATTCAGTTAAGTTAAGAGTTGCCTGAGCAAAAAAACATAATTTGGTTAAAAGTTATATTTAAATTAAATAGACATCGATTAAAAATTTACAATTTTAGTTATTTAATTTGTAAACTACCTAATCCTTCTGCAATCTTGTGCAAAAGGAGAAAACAAAAACCGATAATTTTTGTTTACAATTAATTGTTTCGAATTAGAATCTCAGAACGAGAGTTCGAACAATCGAGCTTTCGAGCATCGTTTTCGAACGACTCACTCGAACTTATTACTCGCGAACATTTTGTACTTTGGACTTTCGAAGTAACGGCATGATCGCGCGACATTCGCTCGTGTCCCTAGTGCAAAAATATAACGAAGTATTCCTCAAAATAACGTAACTTTCAGTCGCCGGTGCCAGTCAACGATCACGACAATCCGAAGTTAGCGCTAATCGACCTTATCGTCATCTCCCTCCGATACCTGTGAGAGCAAAGGTCAACGCAACCGGCACACCTATCGGCACTTTGTCCAATGTCCCCGGTGACATATCAGCTCCACGTTCGGAGGATCGCGCTAGTACTATCGCATACATTCATTCTATCCTTAATTTACATCTAATAAACGATAAAGATAAAATGATGCGATGGTGCTAATAGCGCGCTCTCCGAATGCAGCCATTTACTTATCGATTCAACATCAAAAAGAAGGGCAAAAAGATTGCTAAATTTGTTTTTAAGCTTCACAAATAATCCGCCTGAGCCAATTCCTAAAATTCTACTCGATGGATGGAGTAGCATTTAATTGGGAGCAATCGGGAGCAAAAAGAAACAAGATTTCAGAACAAAGTTCTTTCTTAGTTCTGATTGGTCAATTAAATGCTGCTCCAGTTATCAAGCAGAAATTTTGAAGAACCTAGTCCTTGGAGAGTCGACATAAAGTCGTACGCCATTGCCGGTTGCGATCTCGGACATGCATGATTGTTGCCGACTGGAGATCGTTC